TAAACACATGTAGTTGAAAGTATTCCTGGTTATATTTTGATTTTTTTTTTTTTTGCGTTAATGGAAGAAACACAATATGTGAAAACAGCAGACAGTCTGGAGTCAGGCAAACCTGGGCTTGAATTCTGGCTCTGACACTTACATTTGATTTCTTATGATTCCTGCAGATGGCAGCCCATTATAAGACATCCCTGAACTGGCCATAGAAGAATGGCTTTTCTTGGTGGATTTACAAGTTAGCTTTCCAAGGGAAATGTGATGAGGCAAATTTTGGTAGTGACTTCTTTTTTAGGTCATAATAGAATGTGGAGAAGCTAGTGTGCTATCTTCGTTGGCAGCAGTATTGTGTGGTAAAAGACAGATGAACTCTTGGCGCTGTATTTGAATTCCAGCTTTGCAGCTTCCTAGTTGTGTGACAATGGGCAGGTTTTCCAGGGCCCTGAATGTCAGTTCTTCTATCTAAAAAAATTGGACATTAATACAAATGATACTGGCTGCTGACATAATTGAACTAACAAATGTAAACCACCGGAAACATAGCTAGTGCATTATATATTATGAGTCATATGTCATATATATTATATTATATATCATATATATTATATGAGTCCTCATTCCTGTCTCCGTCTGTCACCATCAGAGCACAGCATTTTTCCCACCCCATATACACTATGAGCGTGGCCTGGGACTGCCACCATGATAGCAAGGCCTTAGGGAAGTTGTGCTAGAAGGTGTAGTTATTTCTTCCTCTCCACTTTCTTTCCGAAGTTATTTCTTATATCTGGGATCCTCTTGGGGTTACCAAAACTGTGAGAGAATAAATGGTGAGGAAATAATAAATGGAAAAAAAATCTATAAATACATGAGGAGTATTGTTATTAAGCTAATTAATATTATTTCTTAATTTTATGTCAGGAAGAGGAATTATGATTCATATTATTGGATAAAAGATATACTCAGAAAAGCAAAAACAAATAAAATAAACGTATAGCTATGTTTAACTTTAGAGGGAAAGAGACTACTTTATTTAATTATTTTACAGCACTCCCATATAATTTTTATTCAGGTATTAACTATGTTAAAGTACAAGTTCTACTGAATGTCCCCTGGGGAGTAACACATAGAGTCAGCCCAGTACTGACTGTCCTCATATAAAAAGAACAAAGGAACTCATGATTTCTTGAAGGAAGCTGAGCACTGCTAAACAAGCACTGTCTTTCTTTTTTTCTTCTTTTTTATCGAGTTTATTGGGGTGACATTGGTTAATAAAATTATACAGGTTTCAGGTGTACAGTTCTATAATGCATCATCTGTACATTGCATTGTGTGTTCACCAGCCCAAGTCAAGTTTTCTTCCATCACCATTTGCCCTTCCCTTTACTCTCTGGTAATGACCATACTGTTGCCTGTGTGAGATTTTTTTTCTTAATCCCTTTATCTTTTTCACCCAGCCCCACCATCAGCCTCCCCTCTGACAGCAGGCAGTCTGTTCTCTATCAACCTGTTTTTTTATTTTGTTTGTTAGTTTATTTTGTTCATTTGATATATGAGTGAAATTATATGGCACTTGTCTTTCTCTGACTGGCTTATCTTACTTAGCATAATGCTCTCCAGGTCCATCCATGCTGTTGCAAGGGGCAAGATTTCCTTCTTTTTTATGATCTAGTAGTAGTCCATTGTGTAAATGTACCCCAGCTTTTTTATGTACTCATCCATTGGTGGGCACTTGGGCTGCTTCCAAATCAGGGCTATTGGAAATAACGCTGCAATGAACATAGGGATGGGTATATTTTTTTGCAATAGTGTTTCATGTTTCTTCTGTTGTATTTCCAGGAGTGAAATTGCCACAAGGCAGTTCCATTTTAAATTTTTGGATATAACTCTATATTGCTTTCCACAGTAGCTGCAACAACCTGCGTTCCTACCAACAGTGCACAAGGGTTTGCTTTTTAAAAAATTGTTGTTCAATTACAGCTGTCCCAATTTTCCCCCCATTGCTCCCCCTTGCCCCTCTCCTCCTCCTCCTTCCGTCAGTCCCCACCCGGTTGTCCTTAACTGTGGGTCCTTTATACATGTTCCTTGACTAGACACTTCCCCTTCTTTCCCCTGTTTTCCCTCTCCCCACCATCTCTGGTCACTGTCAGTTTGTTCCACTTTTACGCACATCATCGCCAGCACTTGTGTGTTGTTTTATTGATGATAGACATTCTGACCTGTATGAGGTGATATCTTATTGTGGCTTTAATTTGTATTTCTCTCATGATTAGTGACATTGAGCATCTTTCATGTGTCTATTGGCCCTCTGTATGTCCTCCTTGGAGAAGTGTCTGTTCAAGTCCTTTGCCCATTTTTTAATTGGACTGTTTGTTTTTTTGATTTTGAGTTTTGTAAGTTCTTTATTAATTTTGGATATTAATCCCAAATCATATGTATCATTAGTGAATATGTTCACCCATTCAGCTGGTTGTATTTTCATTTTTTTATTGTTTCTTTTGCTGTGCAAAAACTTTTTAGTTTGATGTAGTCCCATTTGTTTTTCTTTTGTTTCCCTTGCCCAAGGAGATATATCAGAAAAAATTGCTATGGAAAATGTTTGAGATATTACTACCTATTTTTTTCTAGGATTTTTATGCCTTTGAGTCTTATGTTTCAGTCTTTAATCCATTTGGAGTTTATTCTTGTGTATGGTTTAAGAAGTTGGTCTAGTTTCATTTTTTTGGACATATCTGTCCAGTCTTCCCAACACCATTTATTGAGGAGACTATTTTATCCTATTATATGTTTTTGCCTCCTTTGTTGAATATTAATTGACCATAAAGGTGTGGGTTTGTTTCTGAGCTCTCTATTCTGTTCTATTGTCCTAAATGTCTGTTTTTATTATAGTACCATGCTGTTTTGATTACTATGGCCTTATAGTATCTTTGATGTCAAGTAGTGTGATACATCAACTTTGCTTTTATTTCTTAATATTACTGAAGCTATTTGGGTCCTTTGTGATTTCATATAAATTTTTAGAATATTTGCTTTAGATCTGTGAAATATGCCCTTGGTATCTTAATAGAAATTGCATTGATTCTATAGATTGCTTTGGTAGCATGGACATTTTAATGATACTGGTCCTTCCAATATATTAATGAACATAATATATGCTTCCAATTATTTATATCTTCCTCAACTTCTGTCTTCAGTGTCCTATAGTTTTCTGATTACAAGTCTTTTAATTCCTTGGTTAAATTTATTCCTAGGTACTTTGTTCTTTTTTGCAATAGTTAATGGGATGGTTTTCTTAGTTTCTCTTTCTGATCATTCATTATAGGTGTATAAAAATGCCACTGGTTTCTGAATATTGACTTTGTATTCCACTACTTTGCCCAATTCATTAATTAGGTCAAGTAGCTTTTTGGTGGGGCCTATAGGGTTTCCAGTGTACAATATCATGGTGTATGAGAATAATGACAATTTTATTTCCTCTTTTACATTTTGGATTCCTTTTATTTCTTCTTCCTGTCTGATTACTGTGGCTAAGATTTCCAATACTATGTTGAATAACAGTGGTGAAGGTAAACATCCCTGTCTTGTCTCTGGTCTTAATGGAAAATGCTTTTAGTTTTTGCACATTGAGTATGATGTTGGCAGTAGGTTTTTCATGTAAGACCTTTATTGTATTGAGGTATGCTCCCTCTATTCCCATTTTGGTGAGTGTTTTTGTCATAGATGCGTGCTGGATTTTATCAAATGCTTTTTCTGCATCTATTGATATGATCATGTGATTTTTGTCCCATTTTGTTTGTGATGTATCACACTTACTGATTTGTGAATATTGTTCCATCCTTGTATCTCTAGAATAAATCTCACTTGATATGGTGTATGATCTTTTTAATGTGTTGCTGGATCTGGTTTGCTAATACTTGGTTGAGGATTTTAGCATCTATTTTCATCAGAGATATTGGCCTGTAATTTTCTTTCTTCGTTGTGTCTTTACCTAGCTTTGGAATTAGGATAATGCGGGCCTCAGCAGTAAAAAGAGTGTGGAAGTCTTTCCTCTTCTTGAATTTTTTGGAATAATTTGAGACTAATAGATGTTAGTCCTTCTTTGAGTGATTGGTAAAATTCACCTGTGAAGCTGTCTGGTCTAGGGCTTTTGTGTGGCGGGAGTCTTTTGATTGCTGCTTCAATTTTACTAGTTGTTATAGGTCTATTCATGTTTTCTGCTTCTTCCTGATTCAGTTTTGGAAGACTGTGTGTTTCTAAAAATTTATCCATTTCCCTCAGGCTGTCCAATTTCTTGGTGTAAAGTTGTTCATATTAATTTCTTGCAATCCTTTTTATTTCTGTGTTATCAGTTGTTACTTCTCCTCTTTTATTTCTGACTTTATTTATTTGGGCCTTCTCTCTTTTTTTCTTGATGAGTCTCGTTAAAGATTTGCCAATTTAGCTTATCTTATCAAAGAAGCAGTTCCTGGATTCATTGATCCTTTAATTATTTTTTAGTCTCTATGTCATTTATTTCTGCTCTGGTCTTATTTCCTTCCTTCTACTCACTCTGGGCTTTGTTTGTTCTTGTTTTTCTAGTTCTTTTATGTGTAGGGTTGAGATTTTTCTGTCTTCTTTAGGTAGGCCAGTAATGCTACGAACTTCCCTCTCAGGTTTTGCTGTGTCCCATAGGTTTTTGGGTTGTTATGTGTTTGTTTTCATTTATTTCCAGGTACTTTTTGGTTTCTTCCTTGAGCTCATTGTTAATCCATTCATTATTTAATAACGTGTTGTTTAGCCTCCATGTATTTGAATGTTTTGAGGTTTTTTTCCCTATGGTTGATTTCTGGTTTTAAGCCATTGTGACCTAGAAAATGCTTGATATAATTTCAATTTTTTTGAAGTTGTTAAGGCTTGTTTTATGTTCTACCATGTGGTCTATCTTTGAGAATGACCCATGTGCATTTAAGAGGAACACGTGTTCTGCTTTTCAGGGGTGAACTGTTCTGTAACTATCAATTAAATCCATCAAATTTGGATGCTTCAGGATTTTGTGTGTTATTCTTGTGCAGAGACCATGCTAATCTTTGTATCATTCCAACTGTAGTATGTGTGCTGCTGTAGTGAGCACTGTTCCCCAAATTCTTGCTTTTTTGTTACTTTCTTTTAGCTGCTCTGTGTCTTGAGTAATTTTCTTTGGTTAAAGTGTGTAAACCAAAATTAATTTTAGACTGTTATAAAGAATAAATATCATGGATTTGAGCAAAAATAAGCTGCAGCTCAGGAGATACAGAATCAGATGGCAACCCAATTTGAGTTCCACTGGGACAAAGGGAAGGTTGTCATTTATAGCAAAAGTTCCTGCTCAAGTTCTCATTAAATCTGTTTTGTGCACAAAAGGTCTTGGAATTGTGCAGCTCTGATTGGACAGGGCAGGTCTCAGTCTGTTAGTAGAAATAGGAAGCCCGTTTTTACCTCCAGTGATTAACTCAGATGTGTAAACAAGCACCCATAGTATAGGAAGCCAAGAGTTCTGTCTGAGGTTCTTCCCGGTATACAGAGTATATAGGAAGCCCATGTCATAAAATGGCCACTATTATCTACAAAATTTGGGCCCTCAGTTGATCACTGGGAATCCACATCAGCAAATAAACATTTTCTGAGAGTTCACAGCTAATTAATCTTTCTTCTTGGGATCCATTGACATTAATGAACATGTGTCTGGTTATTGAATCCCTGAGTCATAAGTGTTTTCCCTCTCAAACTACTAAACATATGATTCTATTTTACTCTGTATTTTAATGGTATGGGCTAATATGAGACTAAAGTGTTCAAAGAAGAGAAATGTTCAAAATCCTGAGGAGGAGAAGAATGCTTGCAAAGAAAGCTAATGTTGTCAGAATTGAGAGAGAAATAGAGAAAGAGTGTGGGAGCATGTGTAACCACTGGGAGATGAGGTCAAAGAGATAGTGGAGGGTCCACTCATGACTGAGTCCTATGTGCCAGTGTGAAGACTGCATTTCCTTTTGAGTGTGATAAGAGCCACTGGACGGTTTTGAGCAACAGAAGTGATCTATTCTGATTTACACTCTAAGGAGATCACACTGTTGAATGTGGCATGCACGGGGCAGAGTAGATACAGCAGCCTGTTCAGCTACTGGTTCTCAATAGTTCAAGTGGTTCTCAATAGCACAAAAGTGGTGCCTAAGGCAGGTATGGGATAGGGGTTGTGAGAAGATACTTGTAAGTCCTCCAAGATTAGTTGCTCTTTTTACAGTGAAGCCTGAGGATGATGCTGGAGCCGCTGTCCCAGTAGCTTTAAGGCCCAGCATATTGAAATCAGGGAGGGCACTGGGCTTCAGAGCCTTCAGCTGCTTCTCCATGGCCGGAGTGAGGAAGGGGCATGCGCGCAAGCGTGCACGTGTGTGTGTGTGTGTGTGTGTGTGTGTGTGTGTGTGTGTGTGTAGCCTGGAAGTTCAGTTATCTCCTTCCCTCTAGGCTTCTCTTGGTATCCTCTCTTCAATTAACTCTAAGGGTTTTTCTTGGACAAGTAATCAGCTAATACTGAACACTTCTGACTCAAGGTCACTTCGTAGTTTCCTTCCATTCATGTAGGGTATGTGAGAGGAATTTTCAGAACTTATTTCTTGGCTTTCTTATATTCAAAGGATACTATCAGCCTAATCACTCCACAATTCTGTTTAGATACCAAGTTATGCATTTTCTTGAATTTCTTATTGGTCACTATTCTTGTTCATGTCCTTTAAAAAAAATTGTTAGCTAATATATTTTTTTGCTGTCACAACCTCACACTTAAAATCTTACCATCCACGCAATTCAGCCTTCAGCTTATTTAGAAATTCCATTTCTTGCTTAGGGATAACTCTGTGAACTTTGAGATGGTCTGAAGAGTACATGGTACCCGTCGTTGCTATAGCTTGTTTATCAGTTCTATTTTTGAGTCCATGTAAAATCTCAGTCTCTCTTCTCCCTTTTTTTATTAACAATGTTCTGGCTAAAACTGCCCCCTTCTGATTACTTTAGGTTAGTCTGAAGCAACAGGGGACTAACACATTGCTGAACTTACATGTTGTTCCTAAGGCATGGAGCTTTGCAGGGACAGTTATAATAACTGACCAAGTCTGAAGAAGAAAGCCTTTGCAAACCTTGAGTGCCCAGGGAGAGCTATGTGTGCCTGGGATTTGTGAGGAGATATTCATTTATATATTAATTATTTATTGGGCATCAGTTACATACTAGGTACTGAATTTAGAACTTGCATTATATAGTCACTTAAGATAAATTTCTTAAAGAGAACAAAGCCTAACAGTAAAGGTAGACTTTTCATAGCATTTATAGATAGTATGATTAATTTATATATAACACCAAGCAGGAGACAGGGACACATGTGATAGAGGCTAGAGAAGCTTAGAGGGGTGATATTTTTGGTTTGAAGAGATGATGCAGGAGGAGGGTGAGTAGAAGGGCACAGTATGAGTAAAAACTGTGAGGCAAGACCCTCTGGATGGCTGGTGTACAACGGTGAAGGCAGGACTTAGCAGGAATATGGCTGGAGAAACAGGCTGAGGTAAGCCAAATATGACATGCTTGGGGTTTTGGTTTTCCTGGGAGCAAGAGAGCCTTGAAAAATTTTAAGTAAAGTTTGATTATGACTGGATTCTCATTTTAAAAGATTAATTTAGCAGCAAAGGATTTCTCTGGGACCAATTAGAGTGCTATTGCCATGATTCATATAAGGTGAAGGTATTAATTGAGGCAGAGAGGGTTAGTGACTGGGCTGGAAGTATGAAGAGATTGTGCGGAGGTGGTGAGGAGGAGGGTGGGATGGAAAGGATAAGAGGGGATTTAAAAAGTTAGAGTTGACAGGATGGGACAGGAGATTGGATGTCAGTGATGAGGAAAAAGAGAAAAATTTGTGGGAAACATGAGGTGGGTTTCAATGTTAGAATTTGATGATTGTGGGACTTCCAGCTGGAGAAGTCTGGTAGACCAGCAAATATTTGATGGCGTTACTCAGGAAGTTGCTTTGTAAAAGTGTTTGATACACACAATTTAGATTCCAAGATACTGGAGTCCTCAATTTTAATGAGCTTTTCCAGTCTTCACCTCAGCAAAATACCTGCACAGTAATATCTAGGTCTTAACGTTATCCTCACCTGCACTAAACTTGAAGAGTTAAGGCTCAGTATGTCCACTTGACCACTGGAGTCTCCTGTGTTCCAGCTCCCTTGTGCTTTATAAACATAGATTTTCTTTTGGATCACTGGAAATAATGTCTCTATATTTCTCCTTTTTCTTCTAGTCCATTAAAACTTTGTACCAGGTGGGTACTGATAATATCAGGGGGAATACTTCATAAGCATATGATTGTCTAACACTTACTTTGTATACCCGAAACTAATACAAAATAATGCTGAATGTAAACTAGAATTGAAAGAATAATAATAAAGTTAAAAAAAGAAAAATATCTTTGTACTCTTATTTCTTTTTTTATATCTAGTCTAGACCATAAAAGACCCAAACCAAATCAGTTACTTTTTAGTACATACGCTATGGTCATTTTCTTGCTTTCTGACATATCCATTCTCCAGATTCTTAATGTTGGATCTGGACTGCTGGGTGTTAAAGGGAAGCACACTACATATGGACAGGGTCCAACACAAATGTATGGATTCTAGTGCATCCCTCAGCATGTCTGTACAGTATCTTTGCTTGTTCCTGACCAGGCCCTTTTATAAAATGTATAGAATATTTAAATTTGTATTTTCTTCATGCATTCTTCTCTATCAACCATCCAATTCCACGCCTTCGAAATTACCCATTCCTGCATCTACACCTCCTTTCTTCTGGTCACAGAGAAGATAATTTGAAGATGTTAATATTCAAAGATAATTTTGTATTCTTTACCTGATTATTACTTTCAAGTATTCCTCTTTCTCTTTTACATTAATCTCTCTATGTTGACACTTACCTTCTATATGCTTAAGTTGTCTTCATCTTAAAAAAATAAAAACTCTCATTTGAACCTACATTTCCCTCAATCTGCCAACCCTCTCTCCAGATAAGATGGGTGAATGTTTACATATGTCAGTGATTGTTTATGATCTTATGCCTCTAAACCAGGATTTCCTGACTTCAATACTATTTGGGGCCAGGAAATTCTTTGTGTGTGAGATTGTTCTGTGCATTATAGGATATTTAGCAGCATCTCTGGTCTTTTTAGATGCCCCTCCCCTTGCCTGTTTGTGCTAACCAAAAATAACTATAGACCTATTTGGGGGCAGGGGAAAATTTGTTCCAGTTGAAATTAAACATGTAACAGTGGTTGTTTGAATAGACATTTTAAAAGAGACTATGAAAAGCTGTAACATTTTATTTGTTCAGGAGAATGTAGTTGATTACACTACCAAAATGAAAACAATAGCAGAATATCATTCTATTAAGAAGCTGGGCTGATAGGAAACCCAGTAGGATATATAGAGAGAAGGTATGAAAAAATGTTGCTTTGGGGAATATTCACAGTGGATATTGAGAGATTGTGTGACTTTAGGTTATTGACACTTAACTGCTGTAAATTTAATTAACTAATTAATTATTAAGATGAATTCTTTCTGATACATTATATTTTATAAGTTAGCAAGCTTGAGAACTCATTACCATGTTTGATAGAAGAATAATGACAGGATTTGAAGAAAGATATGACTGCTAAAGAGAAATGTATGCCCTTTGAACAATGGTCAAATTTGAAATGAGGTCTGTATATGTTAATATTCACACCTATGAAGATGTTCACGTTTCTATCAGTTTTGAAATAAAGAACTGTGAGTGTAGGTATAAATTCTGGAATGTTATTCTTTATGACAGAATCATTCCATTAAGCACAAGAAGTGCCCTTTTCATTTCAGCATACCCAGCACTGACTCTGGGCTACAGTTCAACTCTCTAGGTTACTCCCTTTGATGGATAGCATAAGGAACTGAATTAAGAAAGTCACAGTGTCTGTTGTGATACTACGAGGAGAGGTGATTCCAACATGGTCTTGAGCTCTATGTTTTAAAACCTTGTCTGTGTTGCAGAAATTTCCTGAGACTTTTGAGATCAATGACGTGATAGCTTGGAAAGATTTTTCCAATCAATTATTTTTAATTTGTTGAGTGCTTGTTATGTTTCAAACCCTGGGCTGAAATCAGGGAAATATTTCTAATTCTCTCATAAATGTGAGTTTCCAGCTCATCCTGGCTCATGAGAGCTGATTTTGTACATCCCTTCCCAACCCTGTGTTCAGTGACTAGAATCAACCATGGTAAGAGCATTTACACTATGAAATCAACCCTGGCTGGTGTGGCTCAGTTGGTAGGAGTGTCACCCCATAACCTAAAGGTTGAGGGTTCCATTCCCAGTTAGGGGTCCTATCCTGGGCCCTAATGGTAGGTTCCTGATCTGGATGTGTACTGGAGGCAACCAACTGATGTTTCTCTCTCTCTCTCCCTTCCTCTCTCACTTCTTTTCTTTAATCCTCAGGTAAGGATTAAACAAAACAAGAGTATTTACACCATAAAGTCAAAACATACCACAAAATCAAGATTCCTTTTTTTTTTCTTTCCAGGGAACTGTTTTGCCTGAAGATTGGTCTTGTTTTCCTCATTTCACAGCTGAAACTAAAACTCAGAAAAGTAATTCCCGAAAGGAGTTTTACTTTGAAAACTATATGAGTTCTTGTGAAGCAAGATAATATAAATATAAGAGAATTCTTATTTTTCTACTCAAATAATAGAAAAATAATAGTAGAAAAATATACTTCCGTTGAATTTAGGTTTTCTTCATAGAAGAATGAAAATTCTTGTGAATTGTGTTTTTCTCCTTTTAAAAAAATTTCACTTGCACAACAGGTTATAATGAGAACATGTTGATGTTTCTTTGTTTCTTTTACCTTCTTTGCTGAACATAAAATGGATTATAAGACAGTCTTTAAGACCTGGATTTTGGTGTATATTAGAATGCTATTTTTCATCATACTTGATTTTCTAACAATTATTTGCAAAATGTTTGTAGCATTTGATTAACTAACCCCTGTTCTATTACTAACAAGTCCTATGATCTTGATAAAGTTTTCTCAACTGTGTAGTATAAGGGATTCCACCAGCACCTTCGAAGGTGATTGCCATTCATGCCAGCATGAAGATTCTAATGCTTCTAACAACTGGCATATGTCCTGCTGTTAAAATACTATTGTGGAATATACCTAAATAAAGCATTTTTAATATAATTTTATTGAAGGTGCAGCCTCAGAAGTGAAGGTTGTTATTTTGTTGGAAATGAAGTTTTTATTTTGCTTTGAAAGTTTCAGAATCTGAAGCTGAGGGAATTCTACTGTGAGGGAAACCCACTGTTCCTGAAGCAGCTTGTTTATGCTGTCAAAAAGGAGAACGTCTGGAGTCTGCAGGTGAGGCCTTATATAATTCACACAGCTCTCCACTAAAGCCGTGGTTTAAGTTTTAAAGAGCTTTCTTTTAAAGCATTCCAGCCAAATCAGCAAATGATTAATGTCACCCTAGTCTATTGGCAATGGGAATCCGAGACATCATCTCTTTGACTTGCTGGTAGAATCCAGTGTCTTCCTATCTGATTTCCAGAGTGACTAACTTCAGAGAAATAGCAACATTTTTTTCTGTATGGAAAGTGAAGAACTTGTTTTCACTATCATCTTCCAAGAATTTGTTTAGTATTCTCTAAGAATGTATTTGATTTGTTCTTACTGGGGTCTTTGCCTCTCCATCGCCACACCCCATGCCCCTTTTAAGGACTTTTAAATTGAATTTATTTCAGTGACATTGGTTAATAAAATGATATAGGTTTCAGGTATACAATTCTATAATACATCATCTGTATATTGTTTTGTGTGTTCATCAACCCAAGTCAAGTCTCCATCCATCACCATTTACCCAATTTTTACCCTCTTCTACCTTCTCCTACCCTTGTTTCCCTCTTATAATAACCATACTGTTATCTTTTAAGTTTTCTTTTTCTTTGCCTATCCCTTCTTCACTTGATGTCATTCCTAGTGGATGAATGGATTATGATCCAGAAATCATATTCACTTTAGTCAAATAAGTTGGTGATATTAAAAGAAGGAATAGGAAGCCCTGGCTGGGTAGTTCAGTTGGTTAGAACATCATCCTGATACACCAAGGTTGCGCATTCAGTCCCTGGTCAGAGCACATATAGGAATCAATCAATGAATGTATAAATAAGTGGAACAACAAATTGATGTTTCTCTCTCTCTCTTTTTCTTCCCCTTCCTCTCTCTCTCCAAAATCAATAAATAAAAATTTTTTAAAATAAAAATAATAAAAAAAGGAATAGGAAAGAATATTAGAGAACTCTTTTTTGGGCCTTTTAGTGATAGGCGAGCCAAAGTTTGCAGATCTTCCCACATTTGAGTATGTCTCCATCATAAATTTGAACTTCTCAGGTCCTTCTAAGACTTTACGTGAACATGCAGGTTTATCTTAAGACTTTCAAGAATTGTATAGGATTCAAGTTTCCTAGATGCAAGACACAACCAATTTTGTTTAATGGTTTAGCTTTGTTTTTTTTTATAAATAGCATTTTCCCTTGTTGCATAGGTTACATATGTTTAATACAGAGAACTAGAAATACAGATGAACAAGGAAGAAAGTTTCTATGTTTTATTGATTAAAAGAAGTTTATTACAAAAGCAATACAAACTCATTTAGAGAAATTGGAAAAAAAGCAATGGAAGTTGATAAGATTACTTAGAAATCCAATATGCAGAGATATTACCATTATTCTCTCTGACATTTATTTTGCTAGTACTTTCCATGCATCCAGAAGTTTTTTAAATTAAAGATGAGTTTAGACTCCACATACTATTCAGGGACTTGTTTTTTTCCCCCTTCAAACTATTGTGAAAATCTTTCCAATCGACAAAAACATAAATCTTTGACTTCTTTTTCTTAATGAATACATAATATTCTGGTATATTACAACATACTATTTTTAACTACTTTTCCTCCTGTTGGTTGTTTAGGTTATTAATAATTTTCTGGCTTTTTGGCCTTTATAGACAAGGCTTTGATAATTGTCCTCATAGCAAACTTCTCATGTGCATATTATCCCTACAAGTGAAATTGCTTGGTCAAAAATTGTCATTTTTTTAAAGTTTGGCTAGCTCTTTTCAAATTCCCTTCCAGAGAGTCAATCTATATTTCCACAAATAATATTATCTTCTTCTCTGTGTGAAAAAAAAATCCTATTTGAAATTTAATTGTTAATGATTTTTAAAACTACAGGGATTAATTTGTTTAACCCCTTATGATGTATTTGTTCTCCTTGAATTAAGCATTTTAGAATAGTAATAACAATAATAAAACCTAACACCTATTGAGCTTACTGTGAGCAAGGCATTGTTCTAAGGACTCAGAAATGAATTATTTAATCATCCAGTAACCCTAGAAAGGTAGGTACCATTATTGTTCCCCTTTTATGGATAAACCGAGCCCCAAAGAGGTTACATAACTTGTCCCAGGTTCATAGAGCTAATGTGAGGATGCCAACTTAAGCAGATGGGCTCCATACTCTTTGCAGTAGAATCACCTCTAAAAGGGGCTGCGTGAGGTGAGGGAAAAGGAAACAAGGGGAGTCCTTGGTTGAAGGAGGTTCTGGATTGTGGATGGGGCTAGATGTCGCAGTGGTCTTATGAGGGTGCTCATGAAGCCATGAAGTATGTCTAAGAATTTTTCATAGAAAGGTAACACATTTATTATATATTTCATATTTGTACTTAGAATAAAAGTTATTTCTACTGGATATTTGGTTAACATTACTGATTAAACTATTGAATACTTGGACTTTGAAGAATTATAGAGCTTTCGTTCAAGATTGTCTTTGTTAAGATTTTTAAATATTTTTCTTCACCTCAGAGATTTATGAACTAAATTTTAATGTTGATAACTAGATTATAACAAAGTATTAGCCAGAATATTCTGTATTAGTAGATGCCTGATTAAGAGCTTTACCCATGTTATCTGATTTAATTCTTCGAACTGTAGATGATAGTATTGGGTAAACATCCCTGTTTTATTGTTGAGGTATCCAAGACTAGAGAAGTTAAGACTTGTCCAAGGAAAGTTACAGTGCTAATAAGTCACAGAGCCTGAATTTGCACCTGTTAACTGAGTCTGACACAGAAAGTTTCCTCTTTTTTTAAATTTTATTTTTAAATTACAGTTTGCATTCAATATTATTTTGTATTAGTTTCAGGTGTATAGCATAGTGGTTAGACAATTATATATTTTGCAAAGTAGACCCTGCGATATTTCAGGTACCCATCTGGCACTGTATATAGTTATTACAATATTATTGACTATATTACCTATTTTGCACTTTATATTCCTGGAACTATTTTGTGATTACCAATTTGTAGTTCTTAATCTCTTCACCTTTGTCAGGCAGCCCCCCAAACCCCCTACCCACGGGCAACCATCAGTCTATTCTCTCTATATTTGCTCTTGATGGTATCTGTGTTTTAGTGTCTATCATACACAGGGTATCTGTATCACTTAATCATATAATAGTTCCAAATTAATCATTTATTCCAAGGATTCATATCTGTTTTTAAATTTTATATATTTTTATATCCATATAAATATAATTTCTATATAGATGTTTTTATATTTCAAATGAAATCATTGTATGTAAAGGAAAGAAAAAGAATACCTGAAACCAATTTTAACTTATGATGGTTTAAACATAGGAATAATTTTTTTTTAGCAATAATTTCTGACCTACTAAGATAACAAATATCCTAACAAAACAACAAGTGAACTATTTAAAGGGAATATTTTTTGTCCATAAAAGATTTCTTAACTCTTAAGTAACATTGGAATTAGGCTACCATAAAGTTGTACATTCTCAAAAACTGTATTGCATATGCCTTTATGAGGTGTCTTAAAAAATACTATTGGCATGAAAATATGTATATATATGTATACATATATATGCACATTTCCAAGTAATAACTTTATAATTCAATGGTATGTCTTCCACACATAGTGAATGCAACAAACATGTTTGGTTCCAGAAATCATAAATGGTAAAAGGGAACTGTATGAACTGTGACCTATTTATAGGTCCCATGTATTTCAGCAAATTCTTCTACCATCTGATGGGATTGAATCTTTTATTAGTTTTCTGAAGCTTTGTAGTGAGACCTAGACTTTAATTCTTATAGCTAAAAACTTACCTTTAAAATCAATGTTTTACTCAGAATGCCAAGCTCTGCTCGGTGTGTGTAGGCAAAGAAAGGGTGATAACAGACGTGTGATTTAGTAGTCCTGGTAATATCAGTTTGAAAGCGTAATTTTTTCACAAATGATGACCTCGGTTATTTAACCACCCAGGAAAATGAGCTTAAGTGGGTAGGAGGTTGTGCTGTTGAAAGATCAGACATTTACGGAACCCATGCTCAAAGCTGTTTGCTGTATAAAGGCAACTTTCCCAGGTGCTTGTAAGTGGAAGGGATAGAGCACTAGAGAACAGGGAGACAGCTCTCTATAAGATTTTGTTGTTATTTTAAGAAAATTTTAATTGGGGTGAATGGAAAGATTATATATGTGTATATGTGGATATTCCCAAAGATTCCTTTCAAAGCCTGATGTGGCCTACTTTAATACCACTGGAAAATTCTTCGCTGTGGCCAGGAAAAAAAAGTCCCACACACTTATTAAAATTCGTTCAGTGTTTGTGTAACATTTGTACAGGACTTTCAGGCTACTGCCACAACCAGTGGTGAGTGGGGGCACTTAGTGGAGTAAATCAGATGTTTGTTTTATCTGCTTTGTCAATGAAGATTTAACTTTAAGTATTATACCGTTTTCTTTGTATTCTACTTTAAGATGATGTTAATAGTTATGATGAAAGTCAGCTTATATATATTTCCTCATCATCCCTTTTATTACTTAATATTGCAATATTATTATTACCTTCAGTGAAGTTTCTGGAAATACCTGTGTGGATAAGTTTAATACAGATTGAATTCAGATTTGGTTCATAGAAATCAGTATTCTTTACCAATATGGCTCTATTCAGGTACTCAGTTCAGTAGGTAATTTAGACTAATGCTTCTCAAACTTTAACATGCAAAGGGATTACCTGGGGAACTTTGTTAATTGCAGATCCTGATTCAATAGGTCTAGAGTGCATCTGAGGGTCTGAATTTTTATTAAGCTTCCCTACAGGTGATACAAGTTCTACTTGTCCATGGCCCACAATTTTAGTAGTGAGGATTTAGACATTAATAAGTATGACAGACTCAGTTTTCAAGTTCAGGCTGAATGTTTGTATGGTCCATGCTTATACAGTAATGAGAAGTACAAAATTTGAACTAAGGTATATCTAATAATAATGTAAATTTATTATAATAAATTTATTATATAATATAATATAATATTATATATAACTTGGATTCATGTCTATAAAAGACAAGGGACTATTAAAATGAGAGTAAGTTGCCTTTCTTACATTATTGAAAACTAAACTTATTTATAATACTAATCATTGACAATATTATATATATGTGAAAATTAATTTAACAGACACTGTGAGGTATAAGCCAAAAATACAAATTAGTGAAATGGTAATTAATGTATTATAAAAGTTATTTTGAAAATCATCTGAAGAATGATATTCTTTTTTAATCTAGGAAATAACATCAAGATTTATAATGAATCAGCTAGCAGAAATGAATCCTTTCCTAATGCAAGCCATAGAAAGGTACCCACAAGTCAGGAACATAATCTCTAAGGGAAGAAAATGTGCAATATGTGGAAAGTTATTTTTAACCCTATGGATGGAATGTGTTGAATTTGTTTCTCCATCAAAGGTAAAGGGTGCTTTTTACATGAATAAGAACATAAGATCTCCTCTTATTCTTTGTCCTTATCTAAATCAACCCATTCTAACTAGATTTGTGTATAAGAATTGATTTCTGTGATAGCATAACGTTTTTACATAGCTTTATTGAAATATAATTGACACAATATTATGTAAATTAAAATATAAAACATATTGATTAAATACATTTATAAATTGCAAAAGCACTACCACCATAGTCTTAGCTCCTGTTTCCATCCCATCATAGTTATTTATTTAATTTTGATGTTGAGAACACTTAATATCTACTATCTTAGGAACATTCAAATAGATATGTCATTATTAGTTATAATTATCATACTGTACATTAGATGCCCAAACTTATTAATTTTATAACTGGAGGTTTGTACTTTTTGAACATTTCCCCCATCCTAACCCCTGGTAACCAACACTTTCCTGTTTCTCCAAGTTTGTCTGTTTTAGATTCTAAATAGAAGTGATATCATACAGCATCTGTCTTTATCTGAGTTATTTCAGTTAGCGTAATGACCTTAAGATCCATCTAAGTTGTTGTAAATGAAAGGATTTCCTTCTTTCTCATGGCTGAATAATATTCCTTGGTATAAATATCACATTGTCTTTATTCATTCATTTGTTGACTGACACTTAGGTTGTTTTCATATCTTGGCTATTGTAAGCAATATTGTGATGAACATGAGCGTGCAGATATTTCTATGAGATCCTGATTTCAATTTCTTTGAATCTTTACTCAGAAGTGGGATTGCTGAGTCATATTTTTTAGTTTTATTTTTAATTATTTGAGGGAATTGCATACTGCTTTTCTTAGTGGCTGTACTTATTTGCATTCCAGTATCCTAAGGTTCCTTTTTCTCCGCATCCTCCTCAACACTTCTCTCTTGTCGTTTGACGATAGCCGCGTAACTGATGTGAGGTTATATTTCATTGTGGCTTTGATTTGCATTTCCCTGATGACTACTGATATTGAGCACTTTTTCATGTACCTGTTGTCCATTTGTATGTCATCCTTGGAAAAATATCTATTTAGTCCCTCTGTCCACATTTAATTAGGTTGTTAGTTTTTTGTTTTTTTTTTTTGGCTATCAAGTTATATAGGTTCTTTGTATATTTTGGATATTGATCTTGATCATATATATAATTTGTAACTATTTTTTCCCATTCTATTGGTTGCCTTTTAATTTTCTTGAGTTTCTTTTACTGGTTAGAATATTTTTAGTTTGATGCGGTGCCAGTCACACATGTGCTTTTGTTGCTTGTGCTTCTGCTGTCATAGCCAGGAAATCGTTCCTGAGAGCAACATCCAAGAGTTTTTTTCCGTCTTCATCTAGGAGTTTTATGACCTCAGTTCTTAAATTTAAGTCTTTAATATATTTTGACTTATGTGTGTGTGTCAGTGGTGTAGGATAGAGGCACAATTTTATTCTTCTGCGTGTGTTATTCAGTTTACAACATCATTTATTGAAGAGACTGTCTTTTACCATTGAGTATTCTTGGCTCCTTTGTCAATTATTACTAGATCAAATATGTGGAGGTTTCTTTCTGGGCTTTTGATTTTGTTCCATTGGTCTATGTGTCTTTTTTTTATGCCTGTACCATACTGTTTTTGATTAGCTTTGAGGTATAGTTTGAAATCAGGAAGTGTGATTCATTGGCTTTATTCTTGCTTCTTAGGGTTGCTTTGCCTATTTGGTGTCCTTTGTGGCTTCATATAAATTTTAGGATTTTTTGGTGATAATAGTGGTACCTATTTCACAGGGCTGTGGTAAGTGATATCTGAAGTAATGCATGGGCAGTACTTAGCAAAACAGGTTATTAATAAAGGTATACCTAGTAGATAATTAATAAAGATGATTTTTTTTAAAATCAAGGCATTTAGACAAGAAAGACTGATTACAATCTTGTGATAAGTACTATGATGGAGGATTGTATAAGCTGCTATGAGGAGAAAGCATCTAAATTAAATGGGGATGCCTCAGGTCTATCTCTGGGACCTAGCACAGTGATTGTGCTTGGTACTTGGAGAATGTGTAATAGATGTTAAAATTATTTTAATAGGCATTGTTTATAAATGTACTTTGAATGATAGGGACACATTAGTATAGATAAAAACCAGTAGAAAGGCATTTAAAGTGAGGGAACTGCCAGTGTAAAGGTATCAGTGTAAGTAAATTACAAAATGAGTAGAGGGAACTTATTTATGGGGATGAAGTTAGAGAAAGAAGCAGGTGTGAAATGGGAATAGCTCTTGTGTGTGAAGTTTGAAATTAATTTCAAAAGCTATTGTATTAGTTTGTTATGTCTGAATGAGCTGTAAAAACAATAACAAAGTGGCATAAGAATATAGCTTGGGTCAAAAACATAATGATTCAAAAAATTAAGCCAAGACCTGGATGTGAATTTTTGCTAATGAGAGAAAATGTTCAAATATTGAAAAACATGATCACATTAATAAGCACATTGAATGCCAAGAAGAATAAACAAGGCCTAGACAAATCCATATCCTGACACATCTTGGTAAAACTGCATATACCAAAGAGAAGCTCTTAAGAGGTAAAGATGAAATTTTAAGAAAATACATCACCCACCAAAAATGACAAGTATATAAGCACTATTCATGGTGGCCAAGACATGGGAAAAAAGATTAAGTGTCCTTCAGTGGGTGACTGGATAAAGAAGATGTGGTACATGTATACAGTGGAATACTACTTAGCCATAAGGAAAGATGAAATACTACCATTTGCAACAACATGGATGAATATTAGACTATCATACAAAGCAAAATAATTCAAACAGAAAAAGTTAAGAGTCATATGATTTCACTCCTGTGTAGAATATAGAACAGAAAGCAACAAACAAAATCAAGAAACAAACAACTCATTAACACAGACAACAATGTGGAGTGCCAGAGAGGAAAAGGAATGGAAAGGGGCAGAAGAGGGGATCCAACATATGGTGATGGAACATGATTGGAGTTTGAGTGGTGAGCACACAGTGCAACAAACAGATGAGGTATTATAGAATTTTACACCCAAAACCTATATAATTTTATTAACCAATGTCACTCATGCAGACATTGCTGAGTCCAGTGACTATAGATGGAAAAAATTGTTACATAGGAATTACGTTTTTATTTTTCTCAGTAAAATTTCTGGGAAACAATTTATAGCCCTGAGAAATATTATCTCAGAAATAGTAATTATTAAATTAGAGAATAATCACAAGCAGAGTTATATATTCAATACAAAACTGATAAAGGACTTTGGTAAAGTGATCACCTAAAAAGTTAAACAAAACATTGAATTCTAATTAACTAAATAATAGTACTCCAAAGAAGGGAAAAGAGGGACACAGGCACTTTGCATTCCTGCTAACAATAAGAGCCAACTCAATCACCGTCCATGTGATTTCTTAATGACATAAGGGAGATGCCTAAAACCACAGTGGACATAGAAAATTGCTTTAACAGTTTCCATTACAAACTTTTCACTCCATGGAGAAACTGGACAAAGCAAAGTGGATAACTGTGTGGTCCCACTTACTTCCTTTGTTTATGTTTGTCTTTCTTCTTGTACCACCTCCTCTTGGTTCATTGCTCTACTCTTTGCCTTAGTTTATTAAATAGGAGCTAGGTTAAGTATATGTGGAAGAGTTTCTTTTTGATAACCCTTTAGTTCTAGATGAAATTAGGCAGGGATATGTGGTTGGATGAAAGTGTTGTCTACTATATAGAATGGGGAAAAAGAAACTATAAATTGTGTCACTAGTTCTCCAAGCACAATTTCAATACTTAGCCATAGGTAAAGCCAAATATTTAGTAAGTAGAGCAAATCAGAAATTTAAAAATCTACTACAAAAGTCAAAAGAAAAAAGTATCAGACTCAAACTATGGGAAGTAGGAGACACACAACACAAAAAGATCTCAAATATAATATTAATAACATAAAACATGGAGGAAGGGGAGTAAAAATGTAGTCCTTATACAATATATTTGAACTTAAAGGCTCTTCACCTTAAAGAAGACTGTTAAATGATATACATAAAGCTCACGGCAACCACAAATCAAAAATCTACAAAAGATATACCAAAAAAAAAAAAAAAAGAAAGGAACCCAAACAAAACAGTAAAGAAAAACAGCAAACCACAAAGAAAGTGATCAAGAGAAGAAGAAAGGAACAGAGGAAAAATAAAAACAAAGATTAACTAAATGACAATATGTATGTATTTATCAATAACTACTTTAAATGTTAATGGACTAAATGTCCCAATAAAAAGACCCAAGGAGGCTGAATTGATTGAAAACGTTACCCACCTCTTTGCTGCTTACAAGAGTCTCACTTCAAAATGTAAAGCACATACAGACCAAAAGTGAATGGATGGGAAAAGATAGCCCATGCAAACAGAAATGAAAGTCACCCCGGCTGGTGTGGCTCAGTGGATTGCGTGCTGGCCTATGAACCAAAGTGCCACTGGTTAGATTCCTACTCAGGCCTAATACCGCGTTGCGGGTCAGCTCCCCAGTAGGGGGCGCGCAAGAAGCAGCCACACACTGATGTTTCTCTCCTCTTTTTCCCCTCGCTTGCCCCCTCGCTAAAAAATAAATGAATTAAAATCTTAAAAAAAAATAAATAAAAATAAATCTGGGGTATCAATACTTATATCAGACAAAATAGACTTTAAAACAGAAGTGTAAAAAGTAATCAAAGGACACTGCATAATTAAGGGGTCAATCCAAGAAGAGGATATAATAATCATAAATATCTACTTAATCAACATGGGGACATCTAAATATATAAAGCAATTATTAATAGACATAAAGCGAGAAATCCACAGTAATAAAATAAAGTAAGAGATTTTAATACTCCACTCACATCAATGGATAGATCATTATGACAGAAAATCAGTAAGGAAATAATGGTCTTAAATTACACATTAGATCAGATCAAGTTAACAGGCATTTGTAGAATATTTCAT